TACTACTACTACTACTACTACTACTACGAGGACGACGGCGACTACGACTACTACGACCACGACTACGACTACGACTACTACTACTACTACTACTACTACTACTACTACTATCACTACTACTGCTACTACTACTACTACTACCACTACTACTACTACTACTACTACTACTACTACTACTACTACTACTACTCCTACTCCTACTACTACTACTACTACTACTACTACTACTACTATTACTACTACTACTCCGACTGCGAACTCACAAAATAACACACCAGCGGCATCCACAAATGGCACACCAGCCACCAAGAAGACCATTATGAGAACAATTACGACGAAGCCAAACTACAACTATGGTAAGGAAAACTCTGTATACGCATATGCTTCATGAACCAGCCTTCGGGTGGGGAGGTTGGGGGGTATGGGTGTAGCTGTCGGTTTGCGATTGGTTTCTTGTGGGATGTTAAATCTAGATGGCGTGGCGCATGCCTCCGGGGGCGCGATTTCGTCAGAGCCTGGCGCGCCAAGACAACCCCAGAGGGCCCCAAGAAGGGCACCAACGCAGTCCACAGGAGCTCCGAGTCTGCCAAAGAGGGCCTGAAGACGGCCCGAAATGCTCTCAATAGGGCCCAAGAGGCGCACAGGATGCCTCAAAAGGGCGACAAGAGGACCCCCAAGAGGGCCTCAAGAGGCCGAAACCATTGATTTCGTGTATGTTTGTTCTCATGGTGAGGTTAACGCGCTTTCGAAATTCCCGGACACCCCGAGGGTTTACAAGGCGCCCAAGATCGACCCAAGACGGCTCAGGAGGCACCCAGCAAAGCCCCAGGACGGCGCAAGAGGGCCCCCAAACGACCCAAGAGGCCCCCACGACAGCCCAAGCGGGCTACAAGAGGGGCCCAAGAGGGGCCCAAATTACCACGAATATGGCCCTCACGAGACCTCCAAGAAGCCCCCAAGAGGCCCCCAAGTGGCATCCCGAGACACCTCAAGAGGCATCCAAGAGATCTCTGGCCCACAATCCAGGCACGGTGCCTGGATGGGCCGAAGGCCGTTAGATTACTACAGTAATCGAGACCACTTCTAATACCGCCAACGCTGCGACTACCATTAGCACCATCAGCACTGGTGCTACTACGTCTGATTGTCCTCCCCGATCCTTCGACAAGCCTAATTAATCCCCTTTTCTTCTTCGCCCGCGTCCTCCTCCTGACCCTCTTCTTTTCCCGCCTCGTGACATCTCCGACGTCGCTGCCCCGATACGCAGCACGCAACACGTAGCGTATTGATACGAAGCTCAGCACG